TGAGTGAGCTACTAAATCCCAATATAAACCAGTTTTTTGCAAGCCGCAACCAAACGAGAGTTAAAGATCAAATAATTTTTTTATGAGAAGCCACAAATTTTTGATTAACACAACCCTTCCGATTTACCTGACCCCAAAATGACTTCGAACAGGCGATAAATGACTCCCCCTGCACTCGCCCCAGGGCCAACTCAGGAACTTGTTTCATAAAGAACTCAAGAACCCCCTACCCGACCTTTTCCATCCAAGAGGAGCAGGACAGGGGGGTCCCCCCTCTTTTACAAAAAACAACGACATCCCCACTCCAAAAAGGGGGGCATAAAGCAACAGCAAAGAACCCAAAAGCACTAAATCCATATCATAAAAAACTTTTAAAGGGTCCTAAGAACCAAAATCACCCCCCATCTAAAACCCATCATTACAAACCCCCGGGCAAAAATGGAATTTTAAAAAGGGCGCTCCTGTCTGTCTCAACTATTGGATCAACCCACAAGGTCCTAAATCACTAAAAGGGCAAAAAGAATGCAATGTAAAAATACAGACTTTGCAAAAGTTTTCGACAAGTGTCCCAGGCGTAATAGCCACAAATCGTGCTAAAGGAATAAAAGGAAAAGCGTCCGAGGGATCATAATTTCCTCACTAAAGAACACAAGAGTGTCGCAACAGAGAAAGCCCGGGGCAGCACGGAAAACTCTTTTTCCACAAGGCACAGCACTAGCTCCCATCTTGTTCCTCATCCTCATACCGACAAGACAAGGATGTCACCCAGCACCGTTTTTTTTCCTTTGCAGATGACCCCCAAAATCTGCATACAGTGTCTTCCTTTTCAGACCCCAAAGGGCCCAGGGACATCAACCAAATTTTTCAGTGGCTGGGGAAAACAATAGAAGTTAAACATGAAAAATTTCAATTACTCAATAGGTAACAGGGGAAATTAAAATCTTAAATCAGAGTACAAAACAAATTCGGGCCACAAAAAAAGCGAAAAAAACCAACGCAAAGACCTGGAGGATTATGTCGGGGGATCTCCCCTTCAAGCCCAAACAGGGAATCAATCGCTCTGTAGAAAAATGACAGGTGGAAATAAACCCTTTAAAAACTAGGGAGGCCAAGCCCATGTGACACCTTCGGTCCTTGTCTATCTGGGCTGGAATATTGCTGCACTCTAACAGCCCTTTCAAGGGCAGGTAAAATTTGCCGCCCAGAAAATGTACAGAGAATTTTCACGGCGCCAAACGGAGAAAAAAAACCCCTAAATTACTGGAGCGCTTGAGGTTTCTAAACCTGTATTCCCTGGAACGCAGGGGAGAGAACATGATTAATACACCTGGAAAACCTAGAGGGACTAACCGAACTTGCACACAAAAATCCTCACTACAAAGCAAAAGATTTGGGCAACGAGCACCATCCCCCCAATAAAACAGGGTGTCACTACACTTTTAAGAGACCAACAATAAGTTCAGGGCCCGAGACTGTTCAACGCCCCCACACACTAAGGGGGTTACCAAAAGACCCCTGCAGTCTTCAGCTGGCACTGGACAAGCACCTAAAGCAGTTCCTGATCAGCCGGGGGTGGCTCGTATTGGTTTTCGTGCAGCCCGCACAACAGCCTGGTTTAAGGGGGTGATCCACCAGGAGGCCTGGTCACAGACCAGGGCCCGGGGGGGTTGACCCCCGAAACTCTCCCAGGTAAACCCAGTAACGGAAATACTTTAAAACGATGCAGGAACGCATAACAAAAAGCAAAATAACTCAGTTCTTTAAGGACATAGTGAAAGGAAAAAAACCCCTCAAGAAAATTAAAATTCAATTGCAAACCTTTATACAAGCTAAAAATAATACCCACCAAAGGAAAATAAACTATTAATTTATTTTTAAAATTTTAAAATGCCATTACACCTTCCCATCAAGGGGAAAAACAAAAATAACTTTTTACAAACCCCCTCTAGACCCACACGAGTACCCCAAACACACCCAATCACCCCCATTGCGCACCCAAGGGGGTGAGCCCCTTGAATACCCCGAACCCCCCCCCCCCCTTTTACCCCCCTCCACCCCGGAGTTAAAACCCCTTTTAACGCCAAAAATTCCCATTGTTTGGCCTCTATAACCCCCGGAAAAAACCTACCCACCTTTTCCCAAAAAAAATTTTTAAATGGACACAAGGTTTTGAAAAACGCGCCCCAAAGTCCTTTTCACAACATCCCCAAACCCCCTTCCCCCCCTACCCCACAAAACAATATTAGTCCCCCCTTACATATGTTAAACCCCTTACCAACCCCATCCCACCACTCATACAAGCCAACGCCGCAATACCCCCACCTTTTACCCCCCACCCCACCACAACCTTATCATCCATACCCGATGCACCCAAACCTTCACAAAAAAGACAACATAATGCCGTCTCTTCCCCCCCCTGCATCTCCCCACCCCACACCCTGATAACCCCCTATCTCGTAGCACGCCCCGATGGGAAAATCCCATGCGGAAACGAT